CTTTCTCTGATTCCTGCTCTGGCCCCCACTTACTCCAACCCCCCTGGAGGTAGTAAAGGCTGAAGGGCCATAGTAGCCACTTGCTTTTTGTGGGCCTGCTGTGTCCCTGGTGACTGGACACGGGACCAGAAGGGGTTTTGTGACCAGAGTTTTGACCCCTAGACTCTGGAGAGGAGGGGACCAGACAGGCCAGGACTGGAGCAAGGCCTGGACAGCTTTGGGTACAGTCCCTGTGGGAACTCAGATTCAGCAATTAGGGGGCTCCCAGTTCCTTTTTGGCCCCCCTGGGAGGCTCCTTGAGAATTTGGGGACCCAGCTTGTGGTTTTGTGAAGCAGCTTGGCTTTGCCTGTTGATAATGCACAGCATGAGTCATTTCAGTCTCAGAAGTGTCCCTATGTGGATAAGTGGCTGTCCTCATGGTAAAGAGAGCTCATGGAGGGAAGGCCCAGCCGCTGCCCCCTTACTCTGCCTAAGATCCTCCAGTGGAGTCCCCGCTCTGCCAAAAGGTTGGGAAGGGTGACCTATCATCAGCTGATAATAAACACCATCAGGACTGTTGGGCCTGAGCCAGATTTGAAGAAATAGATTCCAGTGACCGGTCTCCCCAGCCTCCTGGGACATTAGAGCACTGCAGGGACCTTCTTCCTGCACGTCACTAACTGCAGCCACTGGCACAGGGATCAGCACCCAGGGCTGCTGAGTTCTTTGTGGAGGGAGGAAGATAGATGCAAGAAGGGTGAGCCCCTTAGAAGTCTTCGTCCTTCCCTCTCATCCATCTTCCCTCTGGGCCTCCCTGACTGGGTCTCAGCTGCGCTGGGCCCCAGGTTCTCGGGGCCACTGCCCACCCTCCCATGAGCATTTGCATGAAACCTCCTTCCTTGTGGGCAGGATGTGGGGCCTCCACTATTCGTGTCTCTCACAGAGCACAGGTTGGGGCTTCTGTCCTATACTCCAGATGGGCGAACTCCATCCTTGGCTCCTTGGGGGAGGGACTGATGCCATTCTGCTCTCCCAGTGGTCAGTCCCATATCCTTTACCCTCTGTCTACTGGACACATGCTCAGCCCCTGCAGTGTTCTCCATGAAAGATCTCCCTTCCCTCCGTCCCTCCTTCCCTACCATCGTTTTTCTCTTTCTCCCTCCCTCTCTCTCCATCTTTCTTCTTTTCACAAACTTGTCTGTAGTGCCACTACTGGGCCAAGCAGATACTGTGCTGAACAATGAGAAAACAGATGAACTGGAGTGACTTTGCCTCACAAGGGAATTCATGACTGTCTGGGGGAGCTGATTTATGCTCAGAAGAGGGAGTGAGCCTTAAAACAGCTCTGTCCTGGGTTCGTACCCCTGCTCCCCTCATCCTTCTCTGAGCTACCTGGGCAAATTCCTGGAAGTCCCTAAACCTTAGCTTCCTTATTAGCAGGAAGGAGATGTTTCCACTTGTTTCATCACGGAGAGGCTGGCAAGGCAGGTGAGTCTCTGGCCCTAAAGCACTGAGCCCGATAACAGGCATATTGCTGGGGCTCATTCTTTCTCCATACCTCCCCCAGGGGGTCGGGTTGCAAGATGAAAAAGAGAATTGCCACTTCAATTTGAATTTCAGGTAAACAATGAGTAAATTTTTAGTGTAAATGTGTCCCAAATGTTGGGCATCCTATATCTTATTTGTTAAATATGGCAACCCTAGGAATGGAGCCCTCCGCGCCTGGGGATCCAGGACCACCTCGCAGGCTCAGTAGTGCCAGGTGTCACATGGGGTCTTGAACTGCTCAACACTAATCTTTTACTTTGTAATCCACTTGCACTGAAGCAGAACATCAGGCCCCCCAGGACTCTGTAGCTGGAGGTGAGTTTCACGTGGGTCCCTAAAGGAACTCAGCCATTTCACATGTCCACGGTGAGACAGCAGTGTGCCAGCAGCACAACCAACCTGCCTTCTTGGTGCTTCCATCCTGGGAGGGGAAGGTAGCGAGAACCAGGTGAATGAGCCCACTGAAATCACACTCGGGTGCGGGCTTTGGGATGAGGAGAGAGGCATGGAGGTGCCAGGCGTAGCTTCCTCTGCTCAGACTTGGACACTCAAACACACACTGGGCTGGCCAAGGGAGCTGATTGTCCTGCCGTCTGCTGTCTTGTCTGTCCTTCCCAGCTCCTCTGTTGCCTTGGGCCCCCATTCATTCCCCAGTGCACACCTTTCTTCTGGCCCTCAGACTCCTCCGCCCCCACTCCCCCAGATCAGCAAGATGCTGCCGCAGCTTCTTTGATTTTTTTTTCCCCCCTTTGAATTCATTGAACACTCGGCTTCTTCTGAGAAGGCAAATCTGATACTATTTATGTCTAGCCTCGCCGGTCACATGGGCCTGCGGACAGCTTTAGGCACACGTACCTATTTATGAGTGCATATTTGCAAAGGTGGACATGAGGGACTCATCAAAAGTCAGGACACGATTTCACTTTCCATGCGCTCCTGCCCACCGTTCTCACTCCCATTATTGGCATTTGAACTCTTCCTGTCAGCGAGTCCACCAGTAGGTGGGTTGTTAGCCAGATCAAGTGCTCTACTGCCCACAGGGATATGCTCCTAAGACTGGTGCACCCTCAGGGATGTGTGTGTGTGTGTCGGGGGTGGGGGGGAAGTTTGAAGGGTGAGGAGCAAGGGTCTTGGGAGGGGAGCCTTGGGCACAAAGAGACCAGGACTTAGCAGGGAGGAAGGGGGCACAGGGAGGCCAGCCTTGAGTTCTGGGAAGGAGACTGGGGGGCTTACCCCATGTTCAGGTCTCTGAAAACCAGGGACCTGTGCGTCTTTCCTCTGCCCCCCAGCTCCTCAGCGACCTCTTACCCATTATGCGCTGCACACTGTGGGCTGTTTGCTTGACAAGCTGCAGCAGGAGGAAGGCTGAACCCTTTCTACCACTGTGGCTCCCCACCAGGCCGGCGGGGGTGGGAGGTGTGCATGCCTGAGTATGACAGTGGGTCCTGAGGCTCACTCATCCCTTCCCCCTTGGAAACAGAACTGCAGCAGGTCTCTTACCCAGAGAGGACTGAGCAGAAAATGGACCTTTTGGAGGGGAGTGTGATAACCTCTGGCCCTCCAAAGATGGAGGAGCACAAATCAGAAGAACCTTCCACCTTAACCTAGTGGGTGGGGACTTGAGGGAGGAGAAATCGAATCTGGAGTGATTTATGGAACCCAGAGTAAAGTCTGAGCTAAAAGAGTTGGAGACCAGAGGGCAAGAGTGAAAAGCAAGACTAGCTCCAGTAAATTTGATCCAGAGCCTCAAATACGAGATTCCAAGTAAGAGATGGGCATAGCTTTTGGGGGTAGTCACAGTGTCTGACCCAGGGACAGGCAGCCTGGCTGATGGCCACACACAGGCCTTTCCTGGAAACAAAAACTTCAGAACCCTGGGCCATAGTTCAGCAATTATAGATTCTTGCTCTGCTGAAAGTGAAGACTATCAGGGGCAGGATGGAGTTGAGGTAAAAACCCAGAATCACCTCAGTTAGCTCACAGCTCTCCTAGGGGTGTGGGGAGGGTCCCAGGGGCTCTGGAAACATCCTGGGTTTTCTTATTCAGCTGCTAGTTGGCAGGACAAGGGTTTGAGCCACGTGCCTGTGATTCATTGCGCCCCATGCTCTTTACTGCTGGGCACAGAGGAATGACCCCTGTGGGTTGGTTATTATGTGGTATAGAACCCCACAAGCCTGGCAGTGAGGAGTCTGGTGCAGGGAAGGCTTCCCAGCAGCTGCCTCCATTGTGGGGAGAGATGCTGATATCAGGGTCAGGGTGGGCAGAGCTGGCCTCCCTTACCAGCTGTGGGTCACCAGGTGAATCTTCAGCTTGGCTTCATCTATAGAATGGGGACAGCATGCCTGCCCCCTCTCCAGGTGTGAGATGGAAGTTGCTGGGTGAGTGAAGGGGCTGCAGTTCTTGGGAACCTCAACCTGACCAGTGAGAGCATACGAATGTGTATTTACACCTTTGTCCCCTTTGTTACAAGCACACGCGTTGTCTTTAAGGCAAAAATGTGTGATCAAGGAAAGTGAGGCTAACATAAGTGAGATAAGATGCAAGGAGGCCAGAGGTGCCCCTGGGGCCGGTGCACAGGGTTCCAGAAAGCTGATACCAGCAGGGAGACGGAGGGAGTTAAGACCGTCATGTGTCCACGAGGTCAAAACAAGCCAGTTATTCTAAGGGAGCAAGGCCTGCCTAGAGACACTTAACCTGCGATATTACACACAAGGAACAAAGATGAATGCTTCTAGAAAGTACTGTGAGAGAGTTCTCGCTGCATCCGCTGAGGTCCCCCCCAGAGCGCTGTGTGGCCGCTGCACAGGGTGCTCTGACCTGCCCAGGTGGACATGGCTGTGTACGAGCCTCCCCTCCCGGAAGGTCACTATCTCCTCACCATGCAGCTGTGATCTTCTGGGGGTGGGGAGACCCTGGCTGGGCTCTGCGGGGTGCTTCTACCTGCCCATGTGGCATCGCTCTAAAGGAGCCATGAGCCTTGTGAACCACGCAGGCCTGGGGAGGGAGAAATAAGGCAGCTGTGGCTTTTCTTTCCAGGGTGCCTGCTTCTCCTGCAAGTTGTTTCATCTCCTTGCCCCTAGGCTGGTCTCTGGCACCCACATATTTTGGTCTGTGTCATTTTCTCAACTCCCTGCTGCTTTCACACTGTTTTGAGGCATTTCCACATTTTCCTCTTGAGCCAGCCATCTCAATCCCTCCATTGTCCAATCCAAATTCCCAAGAGAAGGGTCTGACAAGCTGTCAGTTCATCTTTTTGAGCTAAGCCCCTCTGGCCACCTTCAACCAAGACATGGTGTTGCCCTGGTGCAAGCAGGTGAGGTTATGGGGTTCGGGCATGTGTGGTGCACTCGTCACCTGCACCTGCACAGAGGAGGGCGGTGTCCCTTACTCGGCGTTGATGTGTCACACACTGGCGTGTGCCTCCAGGCGCCCACAGCCCTTTGCTCACCTGTGTTCTCTTTGTGTTGGCAAGGTAGGTGTGGATTCCTGCTCCCCCCTGGCCAGCGCTCCCTGTAATCACACAATGGGATTGTAAAGGAAGACGCTTCTGGGAGCTCCTTTGCAGCTTGCACTCTGTGGATGATGGGTGACGACGGTCCCTCTGAACACCCCAAACCCGTGGAATTTCTTAACGTCTGTTTGGGAGACAGCCTGCAGCCCCACCCAGAAGTGCAACTGAGGGAAACGTGCAGCCCCCCTGACCCTCCAGAACCTTGTGGGGAACAGACCCCGGCCTTTGACCCTCCTGTTCCCATCAGGCAAAATGCTCCTCCTGCAGACTCCTGTGCTGAGCCCACACAGCTGGGGGACAACTCTTCCCAGGGTAGCCTACAGCAGGGCCAGAGCAGCTCCACCCAGGTGGTGTTCTGGGCAGGCATCCTGCAGGCCCAGATGTGCGTTTTGGACTTGGAGGGGGAACTGGAGAAGACAGAGGAGCTCAGGGCCGAGCTGAGCTGCGGCTTCCCCACTACTCCTGCAGACCTCCCAACTTCCTCCGCTAGCCCCCCAGGCCCCTGGGACTCAGGCCTCCACCCCAGCCCATCTGCGGAAGAGTCCTCTGGGGAAGACAGCAGTGGGCCTGAGGGGGAGACTCAGATCCCTGTGTGTTCCAGGGAGGGAACGCCAGGCTCTTCCCCAGAGTGGGGTCCTGAAGAGGAGAGCTTGTTCTTCGACAACCCCCTTTTCCTGGAAAGCCCTTGTTCGGACACGAGTGCTTCTGAAGCACGCTTTTCCTGGGGCTTCTCAACGTCCCTTGAGGATGTCAGGACTAGAATTGAGAGCCCACAGACGCAGGAGCCTCCACTCACAGAAGCCAGAGAGCCGTTGGAGCCGGGGAACGAGCCTGATTGTGGGGGTGGCACCGCTAATTCCAGTGGGCACACCACCCCTCCATTCCCTGTGCCCATCTACAGAACACACTCCCTTTCCTGGGCCACACCAGACATCACCGAGGGGGCTCCTGTATTACCTCCTGGCGAGGAGGAGAGTGAGGTAAGTCGTGCCCTGGGACACAGAAGGAAGGGCTTTCTTTCTCCTCTGCTTTTCAGGCCTGAATATACTTCTTTTTATTTATTTATTTATTTTTTTATAGGGGCATGTTTTATTTATTTATTTGTTTGTTTATTTATACAAGCACTGGGTACAGTAAGAAGCGCGGGAGGGTGAGAGAATTCACCAGAGCCAGAGCGGGGAACAGAGCAGGCAGAAGGACCGAAGTACACTGCTGAGGGGAGCAGCGGGCGGCAGGAGAGGTCTGCGCGCCACGTGGGACCCTCCTCTGGTGGCCGGGGAGCAGCCGGGGTCGGCGCCACAGAGGCCGCGGGCCGCTTTGCAACCCAGCGCTCAACCGCTGCGCCACCGGGGAGGGGGCCTGAATATACTTCTTAGACACTAGGGCCTTTTGGAATCCTGGAGTCAGAGCAGAAAAACAGGCCTAGTGTGGCCTTCAGAATTGTAGGAAGTTTTAGCAATACCACAATGTCAGCTGGATGTAAAGGCACTTAAGGCACACATGTCTCATCTGGCCAGCTCCAAGGGGCTGTGGTATCTGGATGCCTATTGCAGCATATTCCAGACCGTTCTCACACTCTGTCTCCCACCTCTCAGACATTACTAACTGCAACACGACAAGGGTGAGCCTGCAAGGATGGGATGTCTATTTTAAGAGATCCATCTTCACTTAGGAGATTTGAGCATTTTGTTACTTTAGCTCACCATCTTCCCTTCTGCCCCCTCCCCCTCCAGTGTCAACAGATGAGGCTCCTATAACAAAGGCAGTCCTTGACATCTACTGGGACAAGTTATGTGAGACAACAGAGAGCACGGTTTTCCCAGGGAGGCCTCTGCTTAAGAGATAAGACTACTCAAGATGACAGAGAGGGCTGTAACTTTCTAATCTCTCTAATCCCAGAGAACAGTGGAGAAGAGTTGCTAGTCCTGCAGCTGTGTCTCCCCACCCGGGGATCAGAGGACTCCTGAGTACTGTGGGAGTTCCCTCCACCCATAGGCCAGGGGTCTCAGTGAGGGCGGTCATGGCTTGTCCTGCAGAAGTGTGTTATCTCAGGACCTTCTTGTTCTCAGGCACATGGGGCCTCCTAGGGATGCCTAGGAGCCCCGTCCTTAGAGCTGGCAGCTTGCCCCCTCTTGGATAGCAGCGCTACGCTCAGTGCCTGGGGCTGTCACCGTGGCCCTCAGCGCCTCCTTGCGCGGTGCTCCAGGAGGCATGACGTTGGCGCGTGGAGCAGAGAAGACTAGAAGACAGTGGACATGGACAGGAAGCCCAGAGGGTCTTGTGGAGTGTGAGAAAGGCCCTGGGAACAGGTTCCCTTTCTCAAACCTCTCTCTTCCTTTCCTCTCTCCCTCTCTCTAAGACTGGTCTGGGAGATAGTCTTAACCCTGCGCCCTCTGCAACACCCTGTGCAGACAAAGCATCGCCCTGGGAAATGGAACACGCTGGATCTGAACCTAGCTCTGCCACACATGCTGTGCAACCTTGGGCAAGTCACTTCCCTTCTCTGGTCCTCACCTCCATCTGACAAGGACGAGTGCGAACTCAATGATTTTCAGGCCCAGCACTCCCAGGGTGTGGGTCTTCTTCCACCCAGGATTCCTTTTCTAAACTGAGGGCCTGGACTGGACCACGTATTCTGGGTCGGGGGACAGCAGCAAGGAGGGAGGACTGTGTATACTCCCCATTACTCTCCCTTCCTCTCCTTTCCCCTCTCACTGCCTGGCCACTGCCTTCACTTCTCAGTGCCACCAGGACTCATGATGACACCGGTGCCTCTCTCCACAGGCCCAGCCCAGCTCTGAGGACTGGCAGACAGAAGAGGGTCCTCTTCTCCCCGAGGGCATAGGTGAGACCCAACATGGGAGGCTGGGAAATTAGGTGATGGGAGCCTTTGGAATCCCGGGTGTCATTAACTAGTTGCAATGTATTGGGTTGGAATCAGACGGGTTGAGGTTAAAGCCTGCTCTGGGACTTCATCAGTACAGCGGGTTTTAAAATACTCATTTCATAGAGCAAATGAAATATACAAATGACCCAGCATTTTCAATGCCTGGTCTTAGTGGATCAGCAAGTCCTGAACCCCAGTTGTCTTGGGGCTCAAGTGCTGGGAGTTCACGGCCCACAGCCTTTGCATGTGGGAGGTCACTGCCCCAAGGAGGGACAGGACATGCTGCCCAGCCTCAGGGGAGGAGCCCTGGGAGGGAGCTGGTAAGGTGGCAGCCAGGCTCTTCGGCCTCTGCCGGTCCCTTGGCCCTCAGCCTGCCTCTCACATCCCATGCCCACCTCACTCCATGCTCTTCCCCAGGTGACAGGGATGCTGAGTGTCCCCAGGAGTCAGCTTCCTACGCTCTGGCCCCCAGCCCCTGGGGGAGCCCAACCACTTCGCCGGAGCCTCGCAGCCCTGAGTCTGAGAGCAGGGGCCCCAGCTCCAGACCCAGCCCAGTGACGTCCCAGCAAGGCAGCCCACAACACCAGAGCTGCCCCACAGGCACTGCTCTTCCCGAGCGGACACTAGATGCTTCGTGCCCTTCACTCTTGGAGACAGATGGGGCAGAGCCAAGTTCCCTGGAGAAAGAGGAGGAAGGAGAGACCCCAGACCCAGAGAAGGAAGTGAGCAGCGAGGGCCCAGCGGGGCCAGCAGCTGGAGTCATGCAGCCTGACGCCCCCTTGACTCCCACGGGAGGGTGAGTGATCCTGGTGGCTCTGGGCTCCTGCGTGCATGCGCTTAGGAACACCCTGGTCTGGGGGAGCACGAGAAACGCACATTGGGATTTTACATACTAAAGCCTGGACTACATAACAAGGCCCCAGTAGAGTGAAGACAGAGGCTTGAAAGCACGAGAAACTGAAGAGCTGACAATTGAGTGCGCTGAGCAAGGCTGGACAGAGCAGTGGAGGGGAGGAGCATGTCCAGGGAGCCCGCATACGTGCTTGAGAAGTGGGAGCTGCAGAGGCAGGTCTGGGAGTGAAGGTTGGGGCTGTGATATGGGGCTTATATGCTGCTTTGAGGAGGTGATGGGGAAATTCTTCCAGCAGCCTGGACCGAGGGTGCTGCTCTGATCTCCCTGGATGTGAGTGCCTAGGAGAGGTTTGAGTGGGACCGAGGGAATGGAACTGGGGCCCAGAGCAGGAATAGATAACCGCAGAACTATGACAGTGGTGGGGAGGGACCGACTGGGAAAGGAGTATAGGTGGTTTCCTGCCTCAGGAGGCTGCATGGAGACTGTCCCAGGGTCAGGAAAGGGGTTTTACTCTCTGTTTGGCTAGAAGGGTCGTGTTGCAGAGACCAGGAAGAAGCAGCAGTTGTTCAGGTCTGATGTAATACTGCACTGGTTGGAGGGTTGACCCCATGCCAGTCTCATTGTCATTGCGTCGTGGCAACCAGAATCCAGAGAAGCATGTGGAAGAGCATGCTGTCCTTGGGGGTGTTCAGAGGCTTCAGAGGTGATCAGAGGAGTCTCTCGGTTTCTAAAAAGGTGTTGGTTTGTTTTACCAAAAACTAAAGTAAGTTCAATTCAAAACAAGAGTAAATCAATCCACCTAAAAGGAGAAACATGCTTTCATAGTGAATAATGAAAAAGGGTTTAATTGGGGCTTTCTTGGTGACACGATTACAGAACTTAGTTTATTTCATCTTATATTTAGCACCTATGAGGTTTAACTTTCAGCACAAGTTCACTGTCACGGAAAGGTCATTTTCATTTCATCTCAATTATTTCACTATTAGATGTTCTTTATTATTTATTAATAATAATATTATTAAATTATTATATCTATTTTGTTAGTAACAGCTTTCTTGAGATAAAAATCACTTGTATTCATTTACTTGTATTCATGAGTGTTTATAACCATGTAATATTTTTTCTCCCAAGTGCTTCCCCATCTAGATGTTGTTTTGTTAGCAATGCTAAAGTGATGAGGTCATTTCTGTAAAATACCTTAGGGCTTTGTCACCTGACTATCCACTAATTCTCTTTGGATGTGACAGTCAGTATTTTTATTTTCTCCTTTTCGCTTGTTTGCAAGACTAACCTCCAGTTCTTCCCTGCACAGGGACTTTCCCTGTGATTCCTGGAACCTTCCAGCATCACTTTCAGGGACTTCATGAAATCTTAGGCTCTTTTGCAAGATTTGTAATCCTACTTTTCGGTTGGTTTTCCTTAGTTATGTGCATGGCTGGGTGTATGGGAGCCCCGGCAGGCAGTGAGAGGATTGCAGCAAAGGCACTGATCCAGTAGGGGCAGAGATGGACAGAGATGGACAGCCATGTTAATGCAGAGGGCTGCTGAGTGTTTTATAAGTGGTCGGTATATCAGTGAAGAGTTGCCTGTCCTGGGGACCTTTGCTATCTCTACCACTCTAACTGGGCACTGCATCACAGGGATACCTCACCCCTGTCTGTAATGTGGCAGGGGAACTGAAGTCAGGTAGATCTTAGACTTGGGACTTGTGAGGTTCTCAGTGTCTCAGTCTGCATGCTCTCTGGTCTGTCTGGGTTGCCAGGCAGGCCTGAGAAGATGGTCCCCATCCAAGGTCTTTCTTTACCAGGGTGCTGCCAATACAAGGAGGGAGGTTGGATCACCTGGCCTCCCCTGGCTGTCACCATTCCTACTGCTAGAGCCTAGATTCCTGCTCTCACCTTTGTCCCTTCCTGGCTCCAGATCTTGGAGTGGGGTGGGGGGGGGGAGGGGAGGGCTGGAGTAGGCTGGGGGTAGGGGAGGAGGCCTTATGACGATGGCAGGACAGGTGAGGCCCGACAGGCCCACCCTCCTTAGAATGGACTAAACACCTTTGGGGTCTTCAAAGGGCTGCACTTGCCACTTGAGGTACACTGGGCTCAGAACCTCCCTGTGGTTCACCTGAGCATGTGGCAAGTCCCAGGCTTGGTTTCCATCTTTGCTGGCTTTGCAGGACACTGCCCTATCTGGGTTCCTCAAGTGCCTGGCAGGCCGGATTGGCCATCCGTGACCCTGTCTGTCCCCTGGGTGAGGGCCTGGTCCAGTTTCTGTACCTCTTTGGTCCTGAGCTCCAGCGCCCCTGAGCTCTGGGCTGGACTCTGAGTACTCTCTCCAAGACTTGACTCAGAACCCCTCCATGTCCATCCCAAGTGGGATGTCTGACGGCACCAATGGACTCCTACAGGCTTCCCGAGGACCCCGTGCCCCAAGCCCACTTCCCAGTGGAAGGCCAGAAGCCACAGGCTGGAGACAAGCTGGCTAATGGTGTCAGCAGTGAGAAAGTGGCCTGGAACTTGGCCTCTCGCCTCTATCACCTGGAGGGCTTCCGGAAGTCTGAAGTGGCTGCTCACCTGAGGAAGAAGTAAGTGGCTTTGAGCCTGAGTAAGTCTCAGGGCTGAGGCGGGATGGAGAGGAGCTGCCAAAAGGTTCCCTTCATGGCTGCCCCTCCCACCATGTCCCTCCAGCCCCACTGGCATCCCAGCATTCCTATCATTGTGCATCTTCCCCTCGCCCCCTTTCTCTCCCTCTTGCCAGGCCTGCTCCTTCCCCTCAGTCACACTGCATCACCCCTTCTTCACACCCTGGACACTGCAGGACACTGCACCACCTTGCCTCTTCCCTCTCCAACTCCATGTCTCCCTCCAGCTCCACACTGGATGGAGGGGCTAGTGGCAGGCTGGCGCTTTGCCCTCTTGGGTCCTAGGGCCCAACCTTTCCCTTTCTTGGTCCTGGCCTGTCAGGCCCAGGCTGTGTGCAGGCCCTGGGGCTCCCATCCCAAGACTCCCTTTTGACTTCATCACCATTTCCCTCCACAGCAATGACTTCAGCAGGGCTGTGGCTGAGGAGTATTTGTCCTTCTTCCAGTTTGGCGGCCAGAGCCTGGACCGTGCCCTCCGGTAGGCCTTTGGGCCTTTCTGGGAGGACATAGAGGAGGGATGGTTGCAGGGTGGTGGCGTGGCTGAGGCTGGAATCTGGTCCTTCCTCTGAGGCCTGCTGGCCACCCTGGCCTGAGCTCCATCCCTGATTCTGGCCCTCCTTCTAGGGGCTTCCTCCAGGCCCTGGTGCTGAGTGGGGAGACTCAGGAACGGGAGCGAATCCTCTACCAGTTCTCCAGACGCTTCCATTACTGCAATCCCGGGGTCTTCTCCTCAGTAGGTAGGGAGGGGCTGGCCCCAAGGCAGGGCAGGGGGACTTTGGGGCACCCAGGAGGATGGCATGGATGTGTCCCCATGACTGCTAAGGAAGGAGGTCACTGGGTGGCTGCTGGTAAGAAAGTGTTTGTGGGGGGGTAGAACCGGAGCATTGGGGGTCACCCAGCCAGTGTGGGCAGAGGAAGCACAGGTGTTCAATTGCACTTTCTCTCCATTTACCTCTTATGGGCAGATTCCGTCCACACCTTGACCTGTGCCATCATGCTCCTTAACACAGACCTGCACGGACAGGTGAGAGGTGGGGACAGTGTCCGTGGGATCCAAGGCAGGCAATGGGTGGGGGGACTGGAAGAGGGAAGTTGGGACCAAAGCCTGGGATGGGGTCAGCATAAAGTCCTGTGGAATGTGGCATGGGGAACTGGAGGAGGTTCTGGAATGACTAGCCACGGGGTTATCCTGCTGGGGGAAGTGTGCACCTGCTATCCACTTCTGTTTGTGGCCATAGAACATCGGGAAAAGCATGAGCTGCCAGGAATTCATCACCAACCTGAATGGCCTGCGGGATGGTGGCAACTTCCCGAAGGAGCTGCTGAAGGTACCATAATGGGGATCCCCGGGGAGAATGCTGAGCCCAGGCCTAGCCCTGCCCAAGAACCCCTGGGAGGACAGGGCTTGCTTACTGAAGGGCTGCTAGACCTGTGCCCCTGGCCAGCAGTGTTGGCATCACCTTGGCATCTGTTAACTGGTGCATATTTGACTCCTGCGCCCCCACGGATCTACTGTCTCAGAATTTCTGGGCCTGGGGCCCCTAAAATGTTATATTGAGCTCCCAGATGATTCATAGTCCCCTGAAGTCTGAGAAACACTGGTTTTGGGGTTCTCTGAGTGAACATAAGGAAAAAGCTTTAAGTGCTAGAAGTCTGGAGCTGGGACTTGGGAGCCAGGTATTGTGAGGTTTGAATTCTAGTCTTGACCAACTCGGGATCCTCCTGGGGGTCATAAGCACTTTGTAATGTTGATATTACAGTGAAATAAAGCTTGCCAAGTGCTCAGCATAGTGCCTGGCACACAGCACGCCTTTCATAAGCAAATGCAGCTTGTGCTCTTTTGTCTAGTAAAACATTTATTGAGCAGTTCCTATGTGCCAGGCACCTTGCTGGGCAATGCTAGGACTGCAGATCATCTAATATTTCCAGGTATATTAGTTCAAAGCACTCCATCCATCCATCCATCCATCCATCCATCCATCCATCCATCCATCCATGCATCCAGTGAGCCACTCATTGTACATTCATTACCCTTGTCAGTCAGCTATTCCTTCTCTGTCAGATGCCTCTGGACAGGATGGCATGTGGGTGACTCATTTCTTCTTCAAGAGAACTAGTTCAGGCCAGGTAGGGACTGGGCTTGCATTGCTCATCCTTATGTCTCCAGCACCTGGCACAGGCATGCCGCAAATGCTCCACAGTAGTTGTCTGTATGCATGTGTGGATGAACCGCTTCCCTGCTCAAGGAAGAAGGGCAGCTCTGTTGGGGTGAACAGGTGGGCTGCAGCATGCTCCTCTCCCAGCTGTGCTGGAGAGTTTGCACCCTAGAGTCTGAGCCTTCCCTGCCCACCTGTGTGTTTCTGTTCCAGGCCCTCTACTGGTCAATCCGAAGTGAGAAGCTAGAGTGGGCAGTGTAAGTAAGAGTCCCCTCGCCCTGCCTCTCTCCCGTGTCTCTGGGCATGTCCTCCCTCCACCTGCCCACCTGAGAGCTGGAGAAGTTCGGGGCCCTGCCTTTGAGTGGGGTGGAGCCTGAGGCAGGGCCCTGTGCCAGTCTCAGAGTGGGAGAGAGTCCCTCAGAGAGGGAGAGAGTCCCAGGTAATACTTGGAGGAGCCAGAGGCAGTGTGTGTGGGGGTTGGCAGTGGTTCCAGGATCAGTGGGGTGGACACCTTTTGGGGGATCCTGGAGTCTGGCTCCCCAGTAGAAGAAGGGGTGCTGATGCCCTGGGAAGCAGTGTTTCCCTCCTCTGGGCCTTCAGCCTGATTCTCTCTTGTTCAGGGATGAAGAAGATGCAAGCAGGCCTGAGAAGGCCCAGTCATCTCCCCTGGCTGGCAAGATGGGCAGCCCCTTCCTCCAGCTAGCCCAGGACCCCACCGCGCCCACCTATAAGCAGGGCATCCTGGCTCGGAAGATGCATCACGATGCAGATGGCAAGAAGAGTGAGTGTCTGCTGCCTGGCTGCTGCGTGGGAGTGTCTGTCTGTCTGGGAACAGCGTGATGTGTGTGGAGCTGCTTTGCTCAGGGACAGGTGCTCACATGTGCACAGGTCAAGGACAGGCTGTTCTATTCCTTCCTCACCGATGACCAGGGACTGAGCATTCCCTGTCCCCGGACCCCTCTGGTGAGGCATAAATCAGCCAAGCACAGCAGGGCCTAGGATAAAAGGTAGAAATTGCTGAGAGGTGTAGGGGTGGCCAGATCAAGTATGGGGATGTAGAGGGGAAAAGGTTTTACTTTTTGTTTTGGAGGGGGGAGTGTGGGGGACAAGATAGTGAAGGCTCTGGGAAATGATGCTCTCTGAGCTGAACTCTGGAGGAAGAGAGGGTCTGGATGTTTGAAATTGAGCAAAGGTAAGGTGGATTTGTTCTGAACAGGGACAGGTGAGAGCGGTGGAGATGTGTTTGGGCCTCGGTCCCAGACGGCTGCAAGCTTGAGAACAGGCAGGGCCAGGGCCAGAGCAGTAGAAAATCCCAGCCTGGGAGCTAGCGTGTGGCTGTGAGAAGCCCCGGGGCCTGAGTAAGGAGGTGACCACATTCCGCCTGAGCCCTGGGCCTCTGAGAGGGGAGCAGGAAGCTGTTTGGGTGCAATGTGCTGGTGGTGGCGTTTGAAAGGGCATGTTCTGTGTGAATGTTTGGATTTGCACGTAAGTGGCTGGTTTGGCTTTCAGTCATATGTGGCATGTTACTGGTTCGTTCGCGGTAGGGTGTGTCTTTTGTGTCGGCATGCCTCTGCCTCTGCTTGTTTGTGTGCACCCTGGGGAGATACTGGCAAGGGGGAGGGAGAGGAGGACTTTGCATCTGGATGGGGGTGCCACGGCCCACCTTCCTGTTCTGTACCTGGGGCAGCGCCATGGGGCAAGCGCGGCTGGAAGATGTTCCACACCTTGCTGCGAGGGATGGTCCTCTACTTCCTGAAGGTAGGAAGGCTGTCCACACCCCCAAGGGCAGGGTGGGGAATAGGGAAGGACCTCGGATGTTTGGGAGGGGCAGCAAGTGACAACAACCCTCCTTTCTGAAACCCCTTGTCCTGTGGCAGGGAGAGGACCACAGCCCTGAGGGGGAGATTTTGGTGGGGCAGATGGTGGATGAGCCCGTTGGGGTGCACCACTCGCTGGCCACCCCCGCCACCCATTACACCAAGAAGCCGCATGTCTTCCAGCTGCGGACTGCAGACTGGCGCCTCTACCTCTTCCAGGCACCGTAAGTCCCTGGGGTGGAAGACAAGTAGCAAGGCCCCAGTTCTCCTACCCCTGCCCTCTGCTCACCCTCTGCTGGCCGCTGGGCAGCCATGGCGGGAGCTATGTCTTGACCAGGAAACAGCGACCACTAGGGCTCCTAGGCTGTCCCGAGGAAGCATGAGGGCTTCCTGCCCCCACCCACTTTGCCAGTACATCAGCCTCTTTCTTGTAAGCCTGGACTAGGCCTCCCAATTCTGAACAGAGGATTCCAGGAAGTCACTAGCAATGGACCTATCATTATAAGATCTATTGCCATCCTAGATTTTCCTTTTTGACCTGTGAGAAGTCCACTTGAAGAGTCTACCGCTCTGCTAGGGGCAGGGTTCCTGGCTTTCCGAGGCTGAGTCTTGAGCTACTGGACATAGGAGATTGGGGGAGGTGGGGCAGATGACCAGACTAGTTCCGACCCTGGGCACAGACAGCCTGCTCTGCCCACAGCACTGCCAAGGAGATGAGTTCTTGGATCACTCGCATCAACCTGGCCGCTGCCACACACTCGGCGCCACCCTTCCCTGCAGCCGTGGGCTCCCAGCGCAGATTTGTCCGGCCCATCCTACCCATGGGCCCTGCCCAGAGCTCTCTGGTATGGCTTCCGGGAAGTGCAGCTAGGAGAGGGGCTGCATCTGAACTGAGCCAGAGGACTAGTGGGGGAGAGAGAAGGGGCAGGGCTGTACCCTGGGCTCTGGAGTGGAGAAGCCTGGGCACCTGGCCTGGGAGGGGGGCCGGGAGGAGAGGTGCTGCTGCACATCTGTAGTCGGGGGACAGAGGAGGGGGCTGCACTGCTGGGCTCTGGAGTGAAGAGGGGGATAGAGTTGCATACCTGGATCCTGAAACAGGGGTGGGGGGTGCAGGTAAGGGGAGAGAACTCGGGACAGCTTCTCCCACCGCCTCCCATCCCAGGAAGAGCAGCATCGATCCCATGAAAACTGCCTGGATGCTGCCTCAGATGACCTGCTGGATCTGCAAAGGCACTTACCAGAGCGGAGGGGCCGCAGCCGAGAGCTGGAGGATTACCGCTTGCGGAAGGAGTATCTGGAGCATGAGGTGAGGCACCTGAGTCTCACAGCCAGCCAGGCCACTCCGGCCTTTGGGGCCCCTTTTGCCTCCTCAGCTGGACCCTCTGCTGCTCCCTTGTGGCCACATCTGTCCCTGCATCCTGGGCTCTGTTCATTGCTGGGGGCAACGGGCGGCATTTGTGTGACCACATCCGGCTCTGTGGGCGCTGCCTGTACATTTGCAGGCAGATGCACGTGCAGGGGCATGCATAGAGTGTGTGCTTGTGTGCAGCAGGTCCCATTGCTTCTTGTCTTGAAGGCTCATAGCAGCTGCTTGCCTGGAAACCAAATCTTAGGGCATGGTATTAAATATTTTTGTTCTCCACTAAGAATGTATTTGGTTCTCCAAAGTAAGAACTGTATTTTAGCTGATTCATTCCCCCTAATATCTAAGTAAGCAGTGCTTTTAGAGCTTGAATTGCTTGCGTGGGTTATCTTATTTTGTTACACAACAACTCGGTGTGTGTGTGGGGGGGGGAGGGCTATTACCTTCATTTTACAGAGGGGGAAACTGAAGCAGAGAAAGATGAAACAACTTGTCCAAACCTGATAAATGCGTGTGCTACTTCAGTCCCTGTCCAGTCCACAAATGCGTGGGCCTCATTTGTGGTTTTATTTAAGGAATGGCCTTTATTAGCTCTGTGATCCATGCTGAAATGTTTTTTTTTGCCTAATCCCACTATATTCCCTTAAATTTGGCCTCCTGTCCGTGCATATTCTGGGACCCTAAGCAGGAGGGGTAGGAGAGAGGCAATGTGAGAACAGAAGGGTTATGAGACCCAGAAAAGGAAGCTGAAGGTCAAGGTGGCCTCCTGGCCACACCTGCTGGTCCTCAGGCTGTGCTCTTTCTCCTGGCCCTGCCTGTCTTGTGGTTGCTGGTTGCAGCAGGGCCCAAAGGCCCTGGGTGTGGCTGAACCCCATTCTGACTGCAGAATCCCAGCCTCCCCTACCTCCCCACCCCACCCCCATCCACCAGCTGGGACTTTTAACAAGCCCCTGGCCATCCCTAGGCCTCATTTCCCTCTTTATAAAGCAGAGAATGATTCCTGCCCTGCCAGCCTCCTAGCAGCCAGCATGAGGGTCCCGTGGGATGGAGGTGGGGAATGCTTAGTAAACTGGGAACTGTATCCAAAGGATGCTAGTTACAGAGACCTTAGGAGTGTGAAACAGATGAGGGTTATCATGCTCTCCAGATGCCAATTGTTAAAATGCTATTCAGACTCAATTATGGTTCGGTACAGATGTGAGCTGTTTGTGTGCAGGGCTGCCCAGATCTCAGGCCTGGTGGGTTACAGATCTTTGAGTGTCTCTGAGATGTAACACGTTCTAGAGATGTTCGTTACTGCACTACAAAGTTGGCTATTAGAACAGGGCTGGGCTGATAGGTGTTATTATAATACCGTCCAGATAACTGCAGGGTTCTAATACTTTACTGCTGTGTTATGCAAGGGCTGGTTGCTCAAGTACAATGCAGTTAGCACACACTAGGTGTTGGCCTAGCCTCTCTCTGGACAAGTCTTTGTTGCCATAGCTTCTCACATGGGTGAGCTGCCTGTCCCCTGAATTCCAGCCTCCCCCTGACCTGGAGCCAGGGTGGTGCTTAGGGCTGGGGCTTGTGTGTTGTAGATAACCCGCTATGAGACGTACGTGCAGCTGCTGGTGACCCGTTTGCACTGCTCCTCGGATGACTTGGACCTGTGGGAAGAACAGCTGGGGAGGGAGGCTGGAGACCTGCAGGAGGCCAAGCCCAGCCTGAAAAAGTCCCACTCCAGCCCGTCTCTGCACCAGGATGAGGCCCCTACCACGGCTAAGGTGAAGCGCAACATCTCAGAGCGTAGAACCTACCGGAAGATCATCCCCAAGCGGAACCGCAACCAGCTGTGAAGCCAGCACTGCCACTCACAGACACTGGCCCCTGCTCTGGGTTGGACCAGAGATGAAACTCTGCAGAGCAGCCTTGTCTCCGTGCATCCTTGATGGGGGAGCGGGCCCTTTCCTCCCGGCTTCTCTTTCCCAGTGAATAGCCCATTTCCCCATAGTCCTCATCTCTCCCTTGCTCACTGGAGCTTCCCAGCACTGCTGTGCCTGCCCCTCAGGCAGTCCCTGGGCACTCCAAGGGAGGCAGGAGATTGAGAATTTGGCTCCATTCCCAGAGTGTGTCCCATGTCACCCTCCACCCCTCTGGAATCCAGAGTGACCTCGTTTCCTGGGCCTGGGGACAGTCAGTATTTTTTTGAGAATCAGTTTGCCCTGTCCTGGGCTGCTGGAGAGAATGAGGCAGCAGAGGTCTTTGGGCAGTCAGCGAGGGGAGCCCCATCCCTAGGGGTGGTCTTGCTCTGGGCAGCAGGCGACCTGCTGCTAGAGAGCCTGGAGATGCCGGCCAGCCTCCTGTGACAGGGAGCAGGGCCACTCAGCCCTGCATGGGGGGGACAGCCTTCTGAGCAGGGCAGGGCTTCAGGTGGCCTACTGGCGGGGGGCAACCAGGTGAGGTTGACTGGGGCCTGTGCCTTTTTCTCCTTCTGGTTCCTTTCCCTATAGTCATCCATGCACTAGGGGCTGACAGGAGGCCCCATCTCACCCACCCAATTGCTGATCAACACACCGCACTGATGGAGGTCAGTGAGAGCCAGAAGGGGTGTGGTCTCCAGAGCACTGTAGCGGCTGGGAACAAGGGGCCTTTGTTTCCCAGGCCACGGAAGGAGATTCTTCGGGTACAGACCCCAGGAAGCTGAGAGTAAGAGATGGTGGCACATTACCCTTGGGGGTTCTCTGGACAAGAGCCCAGGCTCCCTTCTCAGACCCCCATTCCTTACAGCTCCATTCCTGAAGGCTCCAGGACCCCTTTTTGCCCTCCCCCGGCCAGCACAGGGGCTTTGCTGGCCTCCCCGGAAGTCTCCTTGTGCACCCTCTGGCTGCCTCCCAGCTGGGCCTGTTCTCGGGGGAGGTTCCGGAGGCTGAGGGTCCTGAGGCTCTGCCTGTGGGAAGGAGGCTGGGCTGGAGGAGCAGCCACCATTGTCTCTGTTCAGCCAAGTGTGCGAGCAGGCTGCCTGCCCGCCGCCTGCTGGCTGACGCACTGCCTCTCCCTTCCTGCCGGCGCCCTCCTCCCTTCCATAATTGTAAGCAGCCCGGGGCCTGGAACGTCACCACGTGGGGCTGACCTTTGGAGACATGAAGAGTCCTGAACCAGGGCCCAGAGCTGGACCATGCACCCAATGGGTGCGCAATAAAAACAAGCCAAAGAAGGTGTGCAGGAGTGTGTGCGGAGGGGAGGGTCAGGCAGTTCTGGGTAGCTGGGGCTGCCTCCGGGTGACTTTTCTCTGAATGCCTATGTGTGTCTGTATATATGCGTCTGGTGTGTGTGTGTGTGCATGTCTGCATGTGTGTACAACACTTTGTGCAGGGGTCACCCATTTATAAGCCTATTAAAGCTGGAGGGGACCTCAGAATCATTTATTCATCAATTGACTCATTTGTTCACTGATTCCACAAATAATATTGACCACTTTTTATGGTCCAGTACTAGGATATTCAAAAGGAATGAAACATGTCTCTGACCTCCAAGGGATGGCCGTTCCACCCTTTGATCCCCAGATGTCAGTATAGTGGCGCATTTTATTCTGTTGGGGAGGCATGATGAAGACACATTCCCAGCCTAGACCCAGTGATTTGGGTCCCAGCTGGGTCAGGGACCTAGATATGTACTTTTCTTGGGAAACTGATGTGCAGGGGCAGTTGACAGCCATGGCAGAGTCCAGTTGCCCCATTTCATTGAACACTGAGTGTTGGGTGACTTGGCCCAGGGCTGATGTTCACAAGGTAAATGACCTCAGGGGGTTATTTCACCTCACTAAGCATGTGCCCTTATTTCTAAAACCAGAATAAAGGGTAGAGGTTCATCTACATGGGTGCACGTGTGGGACACTTTGATGCCACTTTGCTCTCTAGTCTCACATGAGGCCTTCAGAGCCGGATGAGGACGGTGGCACTGCTTGGCCTGGAGGCAGGGAAGTGGAGACTGGGCTGCTGGACTGTGGTTGTGACGGGTGACCACTGGGGGGCGGGCTTCCTCTTCCTAGCTTTCACCACCCAGGTGTCCAGCAGCAGAGCCCTGCCCCCGGGAGGCCAGCTGGGTGTCCAGCAGTCAGAAATATGGCCTTCCGCTTCTCTAATCCCACAGCGGCCGCAGCTGGCCCCCCACCACCCGGAGAAGCCTACCACTCAAAGGGCAGGATTGTGACATCTTCCTGTAGATGGAGCGGCATAAAGACATTTCTGGAAGCTTAAGGATCCTGGGTTAGGGGAGAAATGTGATCCTGTGGGCCTGTGTCTGATCTTGTAGCCACCACTCCCTCCCTTAACCACCTGAGGAGTCAGAAGGGCATAGGCTCATAAACGTGATTGCGTTTGTCTTCAGTTCCTTCCTTGCCATCCAGGGGGGCTCAGTCCCCTTGGACCTGCTTGATGCCACCACCTCCCCATCTCCCATATCTGCTCCTGGCTTTCTGCTGGCGACATTCATTTGTTGTTTGAAGAGCAACAAATTGTTGTTTGAGACTAGGGGCCTGGTCCTTTCCTTTGGTGGCTCAGAATCAGATAGAGACAGTGTTCGGGTGTTTGGGGGCTGGAGGGAGGCGGGATGAGGAAAACAACAGTGGGTGAGCTGAGGCCAGGTTGTAGGCACCATGCATGTGACTGAGGAGTGTGGTTTTTTTAAGCCGAAGAGGGACACTCTCACAGCTCGGCGGGCAGCTAGGGAGCCTTGCTTTCAGAAATGAAAAGGCCAATTGGTAGGAAGACGCCCTAATCTATTTGTGCAACTTCTCTGTAAGTCTAAAATAAGAAAAGAGGTTGGAGCCAGGGAAACAATGACCTGGAACCTTGGAACAACTAACCTGGTGATCCCACAACTGGTGTTTCCTCCTCCCACCCCACCCTGGCTTACCTGCCTGCTGCTGCTCGAGGCTTTCCTACCCCCAACCCTCTACCCCCTACCCCGGCTGCGTTCTCTGCTACCCCTTTGCCTCCCATTTTTTTGGATGTCTGTGCCTTCTCACCAACTAACCAGTTCACACCTCTACTCGTTCCCCTTCTCTTCCCTTTTCTGAGGAAGAGGGGCTTTCTGGGATCCAGAGGCTGAACCCTCCCCGCCAACCCCTCTTCCCCACCTGCCAGGCACCTCTCTCCTGCAGGGTTCCCGTCTGGGTCTTCGGGCCTACTGTCTACCCACTTTGCTGTCTTCCCTTGCCAACAACTTCAAATATCACCATCATGAGGACAAGAAACATAGAAAAGCCTGCATTGGACTCTGCATCCTGTAGCTGAGACCCACAGGATGTGGGGTCTCTGCCAGCTGCCTCCCTCTTCACCTGTTTCCTTCACACCAGACTCTTGGTCATCAAGTGTCATCAGTCTTTACCTGCTGGTCCCCAGGTGTGTGACCTCAGCAGCCTGGTCCCAGACTTGGGTGGCCTAGCTAGGGTCCCAGCGATTCCTTACCCAACTGTCTGACCAGGGCCAGTTACTTGGCCTCTTATGCTTCTGTTTCTTCTCTATAAAATGGAATAATAACCCTATTTACCTCACAGGGGTTTTGTGAAGATTATGTGAAATTATGTACGTAAACATCCCAGAACAATGCCTGGCACAAAGGAAAACTTCATAGGTTAGCTATTAGTATCCGACCTCGATGGCCTTACCTCATACACACCCCCACCCTGGATTCTGGCTCAGGTTCTGCTTGAAGGCTGGGCCTCCACCTTCAACTCTCCCTTTGCAGGAATGATGCAAGTCATTAATATGAACTCAAATAGGTTTTAGCAGGAAAGGGCACTGATTGACTTGGATAATTGGATAATCTGTGTGTAGGTCAGATGAGATTTAATCTTGGGCTCCACACTGAGCAAGGCCCCCATTTCTCTCCTGTTCTTCTGGTCTCCACCTTCCAGGCCAAGGAGGCAGAACAACCCTCATGGTACCAATATGGCGCCAGAACTTCCCAAGACTCATGCTTTTTTAATTTTAATTTTTTTTAAAGAAGTGGGGTACAGGCCAGAGTCACGGAGGGGGGGGCGGTGAGAAGATTCACTAGAGAGAGCAGGGAGCAGAACATGCAGATCTACAGAAATAACACTGCTGAGGGGAGCAGTGGGTGAGGCAGGAGAGGTCTGCTGCGCCATGTGGGTTGCTCCCTGGCCGGCCGGGAATCTAACTCGCACTGCAAAGGCCTCAGACAGCCTCACAGTGCTGCGCTCAACCCCCTGCGCCACCAGGGAGGCCCCTGAGAGTCACTCTTCCTGAGGGAACTCTAGCACACAAAATATCTGTTCCTTGAAAATTTCAAATTCAAGTCCAGAAATGGAAGGTTTTTTCCAATTAATATTTTGTTACGTCTTTGTTAATTTTTGGACAATATTTGATTTCTCCCCTCAGGTATAGTCCCCATAGGTCTCCCACCATGGCACCTGTGATCCATTGCCACAGCCCCTTGTGCTCTTCCCTGCTCTGTTTTGATATTATTTCCTCCTCCTCCCCTCCCTCCTGCAGAATGTTGCAGGGAAATTCTGAGCTCTACTTGGACCAGTAAGGGGAGAAAAGCAACTGCTACCCAGATGCCGTCTCTCCATAAAGACTTCCTTGGTCCTCCTTCCTCATTCACTCTGTCACGGGGAAGTTTGTAATTTTTACACCCCTCCTTCCCTTGTTTTGCCCTGCCCTGCCCTGCCCTGCTCTGCCCTGCCCTGCCCTGCCTGGCCTGCTCTGGCTTCCTCTTCTTTCTCAGGAAAGCATAAGTTTCACAAGGGAGGACCAGGGCAAATTGGTTTCCATTGCATCTCCAGGCTCTTATCTAGGCCCTGACACCTAGAGTTGAAAAATGTAAATCTCAAAACTTTATCCTCCCTGGGCTTCCAGCGCCCTTCTTTCTCCCAGTTCCTCTACTTTCTGGCACGCTCCTTTTCTGTCCCTCCTCTACTTGCTCCTCCTGAACTCAGCCTTTCTACAAGGTGAGCCTGGGGGTGCTACCCTGGCTGACTGTGGGCCTTCAGGAGAGCTTCTTGAAAAGGCTCTGAAGCTAAATCTCAGCCCTGACCTCTGTTCTGTATTTCAGACCTGGATTGGAGCTGCAGGACCTGGTCCTGGAAATGGTACATTTCTGTAGAGATGCTCCTCATGACACGTAAGATTGAACTCAGGGTCTGCCTTAAGCCTGTCCCTCCTGACGTTCCTGTTTGTTTTAAAAGGCAACACAGCAGGAATATAAGGAGATGAGGCAGGTGGACTTTGGTGACAGGTAGAAGCTTCTGGTTTTATGATCTCTTTGTCCTCATCTTGTGTGACACAGACAGGGTTGAGAGGAGATTCTTAGAGAAGAGATGATTCCCTCATTTGGGGCCTGCTCAGCAGTCTTTTCTTGTCTCCCCTTGTCCCTCCCTGCCCCCTCCCCCTGCCTGTTCCCCTAAGCCCGGGCTTCTGAAGCTTGACTCCAGCTATGAGTATTTCCTAAGACTCCAGTCAAGGTCACGTGCTAATCTGTGGTCCAAAACCCACTTGAAGAAAGTCCAGGAGTTGAAGGGAGATTGAAGGACACAGGTAGCGCATACAGAGGGCTTCTTTGCACAAGATGGCCTGGGTTCCAACACTCCCCACCCAGGCTGGCACTAGGAGTACCCGCTTGCCTCTGCCTGCTGATATGCAGCACTGGGGGCATGTGCCAAACTGGCTGGGTGTTTCTGAGGGCATTCCCCACTCTGTCCTCTAAACCAGCACCTAGGTGACTAGTGTCCCTTACAGCCAAGAGCTAGGAAAAGGTCTACCTGTCCTGAGAATTTGTATGTTGTCTCCTGGTGAACAGGACCAGGTAAGTGCCTGTGACGCCTTTTCTCCTGCTATCAAGAGACTCACAGCAAATTTCTAGCTTTGGTCCTACTATACCACTGTTTGTTTATTTTCTGTGGTCCTGCTGCTTTATTTCTTTTTATATTTTACTAATTTATTGCATACATTTCCTATGAGCTGTCTCAAATCCTCTCTGGAACAAGGTGGGGAATACATTAATATTTAAAATAAAATAAACAAAATGTCAGTGTGTGTGTCTTAGGCTGGAAATTCCTTAAGGGCAGGGACCATGTCTGTTTATATAGCACCTGGCACAGTGTCAAATTGAGGCTTAACAAATGAATTTTGATGAAGAGAGAGAAAGAAGCTGCCTATACCAAGAGATTTAGACCTCACCCTCCAGCTAACCCTCATCCAAACCCCTTTTGCAAGGGGAAAACATTCTCCTGGCCCATTCCAGCCCTCATCCGACTCCTGACCATCACATACATTCCTGTCATCCTACCCTGGTCTTCTCAACCAGGTGCATCCTCACGCATACTCTGCCCTGAGGCTCATACTCCCCTGCCTCACACAAACCAGCCACAGTGGCACCTTTCTCAGGGCTGCACC